CGTCGTGCCTCCTCACGCTCCGGCAGGCCCTCGCCTTTGTGCAAGCCTACATGCCAGCGTCCCAGGCACTCCCGCTTGCGTCCACGCACGCGCTCGTCCAAGCGCTCAACATTGAGTTTATGCTGTACGCCAAGGTCAACGGATCGCTGCAGCTGCTCCACACCAACGTTCTGGACCCCGCTGACCCCGGGTTTCACTTTTACGGCTGGACGTACCTCTACGACTGGGTGCTCGGTCGGCGCGAAGTCATTTCTTTCCAAGGCGATGTAGGTCGTCTCAATCTCTTGAGCGACTACCAACTCCCACTCGCACAGCAGGTCCAGGCGTCGAATCTCGCAGCGAACCTCGTCTTGTACTTTCGGGCTGGCGTCCAATACGTCACGTGCATGATGCTTCTCGTCTCGGCCGTCGCCGTTGGCTACATGCTCCGAGCTCCCACGTGCTTTCAAGGCGGCAACCTCTTCAAGCTCAACCGCGTCGGTGGTCTTGTCTGGGTCGGCCGACCGCTGCTCTTTCTCCGGAGTGCGACGGCCATCTGCCTTCTCTGCACGAGTGGCGTCGACCTGCGCTTCTCGGGCTACCTCAGCTTCTTTCAAGTCGAGCCCGCGCCGTGGTACAAGGTGCTTCTCGCGGCGTGGGAGGTCTCGTGGTTCGTCGCGGTCGTCGACGACATTTTGCTCGTCGCGACGCAAGAGTACGCAGCGTACTTTGTGTTTCCGAATCTGCTACTGGTGTGCGTCGTGGTCGCGATCCTCTCGGGCGCGTCGCCCGTCGCGGTTGCACTGCACGTCGCTCCACAGTGCGTCCACGCGGCAATGGACTTTACCGTCGTCTGCGAGAGCGCCGACATTGCGATAGGCGACATGAACCGCTTTGGAACACTCCTCCTCCTCATGGGGACGTGCCACATTGTGAGCTACTCGATCGCCAAGCGGGTGGTGGGCCCAAAACCGTCAAGCCCCGTGCACTCGCTCTTGCTCTCGCTCGGCGCGCGGTACCATTTCAACCACACAGGTCGCATCGTCCACGGCGTCTACTATCTGGACCGGGCGTCTGCGGCACTCAACGGCATTCTCACGTTCAAGCTCGAGTCGACCATGTACGCGTTTGACATCAAGCTCTGGCGCTTCTTTGCCGCGCCGATACGCAGCGCCGTCGACGTTCCAGGGCTCGACCAGGCCACGTTGAATGCGTCGTTTTCGCTGGTTGAGTAGAGTACTTGCTCCGTCAAAGAACTCTTCAAATAATAATAAGTCCTTCTTGTACCTAAATATATACAATGTGCGCAACCTTGAATCTGCGTGTGTTTGCTTTGCTTTTCTCGAGAGCTGGAATCGGTTTATGGTACTGAATAAGTGCCGAATTGCTATGCTGCCACGTCATAGATATCAAGTTGATACCCACATCCAATATCCAATAAAACGACGCGCCGTTTCCATTTAGACCAATCAGAGCACGCTACACCATCGTCCACGGCTCGTTCCCAACAATGCCGTCGGGGAGTGGCAGCGCGTCTCGGAGATCGCCGTCGTCCGGCACGGGTGCAGCGAGGATCCGCCACAGCTTGATGTCGAAAGCGTACAGAACGTTTTGATGGCGATACGTGAGAACGCCATTGAGCGCCGCAGACGCGCGGTCCAGATAGAAGACGCCGTGAACGACGCAGCGGCTGTGGTTGTACAAGTACTTGGCGCCGGCCGACAAGAGGCGCGATGTCACCTTTGTCGGCGGCAACGGCCCTATCACAAGGCGCGCCAGAATGTACCCGAGTAAATGCGATACGATCGTGCAGACAACGATGCCGAGCAGCCGACGCACGTGCCCAATCACCAAATCGGCCGAGGTGCAAAGTATTTGAAAGTCCATTTCAACCACTTGGCACTGCTTCTCAACAACCAAACTGGGCGCGACCGGCATAACGTACGAGTAGAGCACCGCGCCGCAGCAGACCACGATCGAGTGGAGCGAGAGGTACCAGTGCGCGTGTTCGCGTGTCACGACAAGGCCAATGTCATCAACAACGACAACAAGCCACGCGACTTCCCAGGACGCCAGTAGCATCTTGTAAAAGGGCAGCGGCGTCCGATCAAAGAAGCTGACAAAGCCCGAGGTGCCGAGGTCGAGGCTGGCCGTCGAGAGGAGGCAGAGTGCTGTGAGACTTCGCAGAATGAGCACGGGGCGACCGACCCACACAATTCCGCCGATACGGTCTAATTTGAGCAGATTCTGGCCCTCAAAATGGCCCCGGGTCGTGAGCATGTACCCTGTGGCGACAACGGCGACACCGAGCATGACACACGTGACATAGTAGACACACGCGCGCGAGTACTGGGCAAAGTCGCCCGTGACTTGCCACGCCGGCACCTGCTGCCGCAGCGGCAATGTGGCGTCCGTAAGCAGTGTCAATGACGCGTTTGCGTCACCTCGAAACGAAATCACTTCGCGGTGTCCAAGCACCCAATCAAAGAGGTACGTCCACCCGAAGAATGCAAACGCGTCATCAGGGAGCACCGGCGCTTGCAACAGCCGCAGCACGTTGTTGGTCGGCTTGGCGTAGACCATCAAGCTGACGTTCATGCCCACGACGTGCAGGTGCACTCTCCGCGCCTCTGTGACGAGTGCCGATGTCTCGTTCAATGGCACAACCGACAGCAGGTACGCTTTGACAAAGCGCATGGTTGCCACGAGGTACGTGGGACAAATACCAGCGTTGGCAACGTCAAAGCGACAGATCGCCGACGTGTTGATGCTACGAATGTCCAGGAACGCAAGGCTCGAGAGCAGGCTCGCCACGACGTACATCATGCGGGTCGGCACCACCTTGCTTTGCATGGGCGAGCTGTCGATGCAGGCAAGGTCAAAGCCAATGATGTTGGCGAGGCCGGTGGAGACGCGTTTGGGCGCTGAGAGCTCGGGGCAGAGCGGTGAGCTTCCGTACGCCGGGACGTTGGGCTCAAGCCAGACGCTAGGAATCGGGTACGAAATGGCCACGGGAGAGATGCCAAAGTAAGCTGCTTGCGCCCCGGTGTTGGCGTGGCCGAGGGCGTGTCGCAGGCGCTCAATCGCGTCAGCGACAAAGCGCAGTACCAACGGCGGCACGCTAATGTAGATCATGTCGACGGTGCCAAATGGTCCCAGCAGCTGCGAGACAACCTGAAGGCCGTTTTGCAGCGGTGACGTCAGCGTCCCATTCGCCATCAGTACGGCTTGGAGTGTCGTATTGAGAAAGGCAAATTGACTGCTTCTGCGCAAGAGACTGCGTCCCCCAATGCCGCTGGTGTTGCGCAGGATTGCACTCAAGTCGTTGGCAAGCGACCAGTACATTTTGTACGTTGTCTGGCGATCCACGCGGTAGGTACCATTGAGCGCCATCAGCGTCAAATCATTCGATACGCCGTAAGCATTCGTGATCGAGTAGCTGTTCATGACGCCGATGCGCTTGTAGTTTTGCCACTGCGTATCGTAGCTCTCGACCCCGTGCTGGCGCCAATACGCAGCTTCAGTCGACAGGGGTACTGGATTCGCCGATACCATATCGAGCCATTTCTGACCCGCCACCGACCCGCGCAGGTCCCGCGCGTACGCTGTTTCAAACGCAGTGCCCCAACAATTCGTCCAGTCGCGGTAGTCGATGTTGCGCAAGAGAGACTCGAGGTAGACGGCGCCGTTAGTTGGCATGTCGGCGTAGCAGCGAGCTTGACGCGCCGCCGAGTAGGCGACCTCGAACGCTCTATCAAAGTCGAGGAAGCAGTAGGGCGAGAAGATCCAGGGGGCCATACAGGCGTCTGAGGCCCGGAGACCGGTAATCGCGTCTTCGATCGTATGGAGCTCTGCGTGTTGCAACAGCGCACCATAGTTGTTGGGTGCCAAGACGTACGCTGTGTCGGCTGCAAATAAGGCTTCTTGCAGCACGCTCGGTTCTTCCAGTAGCGGTGACGCGCTTTGGAGTCCGAGCACGAGCTGTTCGTTGAGCCAGGTCGCGAAAAACGCGTGCGCGCCCGTGACGTTAAAGTTGGCCCAGTAGTAGTCGTTGGCGAGGTTGACTTGAGAGACTTCAAAGTACGAGACGCTGCTGACAACCGCAACTACCATGTTACCCAGTGCAACCAGTGTCATGAAGCGTCGACTGCGCTTTTTCACACTGGCAAAGACGCTGGACCATGTCCGGTGCAACGTGGGGCCATGCATCGCCATCGTGGCGTCACGTCGTACGTTTGGGTGCAGCCCGACGCGACGGGACACGGAGAAGCGGTTGTCGTAGAGGCCCCAGAGCGTCACGTCAAACACACGCTGGGACGAGAGTGGTACGAGGCCGCAGAGCAAGCACGTTGGTAGATCAAAGCGCGTCGTCATCGCAAGCGGACACATCAAGACGTCGGCCATACCGACGAGGCGAACGGTGCGGTGCACGTCCAGCGACGGCCGTCGCCACGCTACAGTTAGCACCAACGCCATCGCGAGAAAAATGACTTGCGCGCCAAGAAGGAGCAACGTGCGGTCGTAGCTACCGACGCGGAGTACCCCCGAAGTGCAGACGAGGCCGTAGTCCATGTCATCAGGTGAGCATCGCCGGTCGAGGCGGATTTCCATGGCCACAGGCACCAGCAACGTCCACAGCAGTGTGAAGAGCCAGCTGCTGCACGCACCAAGTGCACCGGCCAACGGCGCAGCCTCACGCGCAACAACGACAGCAACATCCGTGAGCACATACGACACCCACGTGGCTTCGCCTGCGAGCAGCGAAGTTTCAAAAATGGACCGCGGCGATGCCTCGAGACGCGTCGTCGCGGGCGTAGCCTCGGTCACAAGGTGCAACTGGGCGGTCGCGAGCAGCAGAATCGCGCTCATGCCTCGAATCAGCGCGAGCGGGCGGCCCATCCAGATGGCGCCGACGACGCGGTTTAAGTACAGGAGGTTGCGCCCGACGATACGTCCGTTGGCGAGGCTCACACCGACAAGCGCGGCCGCGCCTGCGACGAGCAGCATCATGGACGAAATGCCCACCATCGTGAGCACGAGCTGCGTCGCGGATTGAAGAATCGCGTCGCTGGCAATGTAGGCTTGGGTGGGGTAGGCATTGGAGAGCAGCACCAAAGTCGAGACGTCGCCGGCAAATGCGACAACTTCGCGCTGGCCGAGGGCCCACTCAAAAAGGAAGCACCAGCCCGCAGCGTGCCAGTTTGGATCGATCGTCGGGTCGCCAAGCAATGGGTGGAGCAAGAGGTCCATCTCGTTGACACGGCTGGTGCTGGCGGCGTACTGCATGAGCGAGACGTTGAGCATCGCCACGGCCAATGGAATTGCAACGACCATGTCAGCCAAGTCGGACGGCATGGCCATCGTCGGCACCGCGCTTTGCAGCCACGTGGGCGACACAGTTGCATTCGCCGCCAATGCCGCCCACAACAGCGCACTGGGTGACGGCGAGAGCGTCAGCGGCACGGCGCTCGTGCACGCATCGTAAAAGTCAAACGACTGCTGCACAAAGGCCGTGGCCGTGCCCGACGTGCACATGGGGTCGCCGCCAAAGTACGCCGACCGGTTTCGCCAACTGGCTGGCACCGGGGCGACCACCGGCGCGGTGCCGGCGTAGAACGCGGCGCGGAGCAGACCCGAGGCTTGGAGCTCGGTGTGCAAGAGACTAAGAAAATGGTTGTACGCCTCGCGAAGTACAACTGGCGGTGGTACGTAGAGGCAGTCGACCGAGAGGAACGGACCAATCGAATCGTGGAAGCGGTGCGCGACGCCGTAGCCAACGTTGATGCCGCGGTAGCTCTCCAAGCTCAGCGTCGGCAGACCCGAAGTGTTGGCGCCAAAGAACCGACTCGTGCCGCGCACGAAGCTGCGGTTCATCACCATGGCGCTAAAGAGGTCTTGGATCGGGATCCAAAACATCGTCTGGGACGACCACGGTCCGGTGATTTGGTCGAGCGCCTTGAGCGTGATCTGCTGCGTCATCCCAAATGCATTTTGCAGCACAAGGGTCTCGGCGATCCCGGCGCCCCATCGGTTCTGCCACTGCAACGTGTAGTGGGCCACGTCGTACGTGTGCCAGTAGGCAACTTCGTCGTCGACCGACGTCGTCGCCTTGGCAGCTGCCATGTCCGACAAGAGCCGACGGCCATGGCTGGTCTCTTGGAGCCCGCGCTCGATGGCCACGTTGAAGCGAATGCCGTCGCCGCCCCACGTGGCCTGCATCGCCGGCCAGTCTTGGTTGCGCAGCATTGTCTCGAGGTACACGGCTGCGTTGGTCGAGTAGAGATCCGCGCAGCGACCTTGGCGCGCGACCGTGTGCGCGACCTCGAATGTCTTGTTCAAGTCGACCCAGCAGTACTGCACGTTCATGCGGAAGGCCCAGTAGGCCGAGAGCGCGCGGAGCTCTTGCACGACGCATCGAAACGACGTCTGCGGTGTTAGTAGCTGTTCATGGATGTACGGGAGGTAGAACGACGCGTGGTTGGCCCCCGCGTCGTAGCGCTTGGCGACGACAGCGATCGGCGAAAGCACGTCAAAGGTGCCGTTGGCTTGGCTCTGGAGGAGCTGATTGACGACATCCACAAGAAAGGCCTGGTGCCACGAGAGATTGTACCCAGGCCACCACAGATCGTTGGCAAAGCTCGGCGTTAGAAGGCGAAGGTACCAGACACCACCGAGGAGCGTGCAGACAACGTAGCCGACACCCACAGCCGTCTCGACCGACGGCCACATTCGCGGTGGTAGCCGGGGCGACGAAACCGAAACGGCTCAATCGGTTACGGCGCATTGATCGGCGAGCTATGGCGTCACGCGACGTCTGCGCGGCGCCATGTAAACCAGCGCTCGTCAAGAATGGCTATCGACAAGCTGCTCAACTACGTCGCTACCACCTCGGTAGGTCGAACCCAATGTATACCACAGCCAAGGGGTGAATGCTAGGACTAGGGGTAGCAAGGATATATGTGCACCCAGGTTTCTGCCCTTGGTACAAACCTTGAGCGTCGTTTGTCCGTACATTGGAGTTGCGGTGTTGTCGACGCATTCAAGCTCACGGATCGCACACTCAGCTTATCGTGTAAATACACTGGATTGTGCAGCGGTTTTGAGCCGTTGGCCCTATTTTTATGTGTCGCCAAGGACGTTTTTGAGTTTCATTTGAGCGATATGGGCGACGTGGAGGACTCGGCGGTCGCGGATTTTCTCCAGATCCTCGAGGAGCATCGCAAGAACTGCGAGAAGCAGGGCAAGTACGTCGAGGCCGAGATCGCCAAGAACCGCCTCGAAGAGCTCAAGGTGCACGAGGAGAACCGGCGCAAGGAAGCGATGCGGTCGCGCCAGATCGCCGAGCGGCTCGGCGTTGAGGAAGCGCACATGCTCGAGTTCCAGCAGTTCAACGTCGTTTGGGACAAGAAGATGGAGGACTATGAACACAACATTGAAGAACTCGTGCTCGCCATGCGCGTACGTCGATCCCATCTGTATGGCCCGCACGATGCATATGCCATTAGGAACGCCACAAGGGTGAACTGCTCGAATTTCAGCAAAAGCTGCTCGAGAAGCAAACAAAACCCAAGTTCTCCAAGGAGCTTTTGAACTTGCGCAAGATCGAAGAGCACCTCGCACGCCAAAAAGAGTACCAGCGCGTTTGGCTCTTCCACTCGAAAACTAAGATCTGATAGCTACGCCGAGGCGCACAAGATGAAGCTCAAGGCCGACGCGCTCGAGGCGTGGGAGATGGAAAAGTGGCGCAACTCGAAACAACAAGAAATGTTCCAGCGCGAGGTCAAGTTCAAGCAGCGCCAGCGCCAAGAGCTGGACGCGCTCCAGAAGCGCATCCAGAGCGGCCGCGAAGAGCAAAAGAAGCAGCGCCAATTGGACCTCGAGCGGCTCCTCCAGCGGTACCAGAACGTCAAAGCCGAGCTCCAGCAGCAGCAAAACCTCGAGCGCATCCGCATTGAAAAGTTCTCGCTCAATGCGTCGCAGCGCGTCTCGATGAAGGTCTGAGGCCAAGATGATGATACATGTCGTATTGCTGGCGTCGGCTTCTTAGTCGCGGCGGACGCTCTTAAAGGCCTTCTTGTTCTGGAGGAACATGTACACGAGGGGCAGGACGACGCCGATGGTCATGATGACGAGGCCGCACCAGTACGAGGCAGAGAGGTAGCTGACGGCCGTGGTGCTTGGCGGCGTCTCGGCGGGGCGGCTGGCGTCCATTCTGATGTCTTACCCCTTCACAAACGTTGCGGGGCCTTCAGTAAACTATCGACCTTTCGATACCGTTGCGATCGCGTTCTAAATGAAGGGTCGTAATTAGTGTACGTTCGTTTGCGCTGTAGTCATCCACCTTCATACGCCGAAAATGGGAAACAACACTATTTGCGATTGCCGATCGCAATGTATTCGAAGGGCAATGTGGCTCGTATTTAAATACATACTGATATATTGTATTTTGTATACATATTAAATCGTTTGCATACTATTATATTGGGAGCGGCCTGTCTACGTCACCATCCAAGCATCCAGGCATCCTCTCAGCATGGCGTCGGCGCTCAAGTCCAACTGGAAGCGCAATCTGCTCCTCTTCAACGGCGTCGCCCTCGGCGTGCCGGGCGCGACGGCCGCCTACTTTGTGCACAACCTCCGGCGCGACGTCGAGTTCCGCGAGCACTTTCATGACAAGTACCCGGACCTCCTCGACGCGATCCACGAGTACGTGCCCATCTACCCGGCGCCCGAGACGCGCACCGACATTGGCGACGCCGACCCGACGATGGACTCGGCCTCGGCCGACAAGACGCCGGTGAAGGCTGTCGTGCGCCTCGCCTCTGGCAAGACGGTCGCGTTTGAGGTCTCGCCCGATGTGACGATGGCGAATGTCCACAAGCAGGCGCTTACCGGCCACGCCCATGACCGCGTCGCCGCGGTCGACTTTGTTGACGTTCAGGAACCCGTCGAGACGGCCGCGCCGTCGACGCCCGGTACGTTTCGGTGGATGATCCGGCAACGATGCTGACATGACATGTGCAGCTGCGCCGCAACCCAAGCTGCGTCCGGGCGAGCCCGTGCCGCAGTCGACGTGGCCGTCCCAGTACACGCCGCGTAGCGCCCGTGCATCGATGCAGACGGCTGCGCTTCAGATCGAGCTCGACCAGCTGCGCCTCAAGCAGCAAGCGCTGCAGCTCGAGAAGCGCCAAGGTTTCCGCGAGATTGACGCGATCGAAGCCGACCTCGCGCGCGTTGAAGATCAGAAAAAGCTGCTCAAGGCGCAGCTGCCGCGGAAGAAATGGCTTCGCCTCTTTTAGCATAGCACACCTAGACGACAGCAATCAAGGTTCACTGGTCGCTGACCATCCCGCGATCGTGGATACTTTGGGCTCCTTCTGCATTTCAACTCGGTCCGCGGAATGGTCGTCAACGACCTGGCGCGGGAATGATGGCGTGGGACAGCCACAGCGAATGGCGCACGCGTTCTCAGTGCCCATCTTGTCTACCAGGCGCGCTGGTCCGCGACACCGCCAGGCAAATAATTGCCGTAGCTACTCGAATGGATATGCGTAGCATTCGATGCGAGAGTTGGACGAGACGATGTCGCCACTCTGCGGGTCTGCTGCTTGGCGACGCGACGTGTCGCAGAGCCTTTCCAGGTGGCTACTCACTGGTACGAGCCGATCACCGAAGCACGCCGCTACTTCAAGCGTTCATTTCTGCGCCGGCCCACGCTCTGATTCCTTTCTTCCTCCGCTTCTGGCCTGCTACACAAGGCTCGCGCGTCTTCGTCACCCATCCTGATTGCAACCAACGTCCCAGGAATAGCCAGCGCTTCTTCGACGGGCGACGGAGATGGTTGGGCCGTTGCCTCATCGAACCAACGTCGTGGGATCTCTGGGTTCGATTCGAAGTGTACGAGTACACTGCACCGTCCACGCCCTCCACAACTCAGAGGAGAAAGAAGAGTAGCGAAGAAAGGCCAACGGGTTTCGATGCGGGGCCGGAAAATAATCCCAAAGAGGCCGATTTTCGTTTCGATTCGAAGCGAGGGGTGTGGTCAGTACGCCATGGAATCTGGTTCACGATTGCGTCCTGCAAGCGTCGCGTCACATCCCAACCGCTGTGGTGTGATAGATACCATCGGGTGACGCCGCGGCAAGAGACACTCACCTTGTTCAGCTGGTCGGACGACCCATCTGCACCGACATACCACTAACACAGATGGCGTGAGTACCCAGCCGCCTTGATGAGGTGCTGCCACGTGGCCGCGACCCGCTCGTGTTCTTTCCGTCCTTGGCGGAGGAATGTGCAGGCGTGGTGCTACAACACCTCGTACGACAGTTTCGTCGTATACTCCGTTCGTCTCTGCAACTTCTGTATCCTTGCTACAAAATGTATCCAGCGGCCACCGACCTTGGCCAGCGGTGTGCCCGTCAAATCAACCAAGCGTTGTGGCAGCTCCAAGCATATCGCACGTAATGGCGATCGTCCATCCCAACCCCAAAACAAATCGAACCAAGTAGCTATCACAGTCGGAGGACGTACGTTCGACTCTGCACGACGAGACTTGGTACGACGCTACTCATCCAGCTTCCACACGTGGTCAAGTCTGAATTCAAAATTTAAGCGTTCGAGCGTCTGGGCACTCGACTCCTGCGCAGCGTCCAACGTCTGTACGATGGTCGTACCTTCGTCGTCGTCTTTGTGGGCGTACTCACGCCGTGACACAGCAGAGATCGTGCTGGTAAAAAAAGTGGCATGGGTCTGGTATCGTAGAAGCGAGGATGGGGAGTTGAGGACTGAAAGCTGTGACCCAGCCGACGCATAAAAGAGGCATCGCGCGGGGCAGGGAGTGGCCAGGTAGCCAGAGTAGAGTGGGATGCGAAAACCAGATCATCTGAAATCGTTGACAGCGCAGCCGTTCCGAACCCAGCGCTCGTGCTGTCACCATCTTCTCTTCATTTCACAATTCGCAGCACGCCGACCACGAGTATGGCCACCGTCATGAGCAGCATCTCGCACCGCTTCGGCCCGATCGCCAAGAAGGACCGCAAGAGCCACCGCTTCGCGCCGTATTCGGCCAAGCGCCCGGCCCTCCCCGAGTACGAGTCGTACCTCGAGGCGATGGACTCGGCCGATGAATTCTGCGCCGAGACTGACGTCGAGACGCCCTTCAGCGCTGTCTTTGAAGACGACTTTGTCCGCCTCTCGATCGAAGAAGAGCTCGACATGGACCCGTCTCTCGACATGGAGTGGAGCACCGAAGACCTCTCGATCCTCCTCGCGCTCTTCTCCAAGGACGTCAAGGTCTAAGCAACCCCAGTAGCATGTTAGCATAGGCACCCTAATTTAAATCGTATTAGTTATATAGCAAGGACAAGCGTATGACTCTCGACAAGCATGCTGCTGCCTGGTCGCGCCACAACCAGCAACCGAAAGAAGCGGCGTCTGGTCCGGGTGCGGCAGAGTAGCAGCACAGCACGCAACATTTCGGACGCCGTCGTGGCTGGTTCGGTGGGTTAGTATCGTTGCGGGCGCACGACTATTGCTTGAGAAACCTCCATCCATATCTGCAGCTCCTCTATTATCATCATCTTCCACAACCACTCAGTTCTTAGTCCAACGCTACGACGGTACCTATCCTACGGTGGTGGTGGTGGACGACGAAACGAAGAAGGACGCCTGTCGGTCCTTGGATTATTTCATGTACACTGTGACAAGGCGCCACACGATTCACGGCCACAGCTTCAAGTGCGAATCCCACAGGACGTTTGTCAGCCGAGTATCTGGGTGACACAGTTGGCTTCCGCACCAGATGGTACTCGACCGAATCTGGACGAGTTCAGATCCGATGCTTTTCATCCATTGCAGCAACCACAGCCATCGCATACGGCGATGCAGTGAACAGTACACACTCGAGTTACACAGGTGGGTGCATTCCGTCTCGGCCATCATCTCGCGTCTGACCACAGTAGAATCTCGCTCGACGCGGTTGTTGTTGTTGAAGTGAGTCTATTTAGATTCTCGCTCGACGCGGTCGTACTGGCGGAGACGAACCCATGAACAAGATACATATTTTGTGGCGCCAATATGCGCATCCTGTTCAACTGCGCCGATCCTCCTACATACAGTATGGCCATCGTCTCATCGCCTTCCGTTGAGAGTGGTCGCATGGGCATGCGACCGATCGCATGATGTAGCCGATGAAGAAACCACCTATGTCTCCAAGGTGTCGGCGCCATTGCTAATCGTACCGCGCACGGTTTGCAAAGGTGTCGCCAAGCTGGTTCACGCGATCCCGTCTTTTCCGCAACGTCTGGTGCATTCAAGCGTCCGTCGTCCGTGCATTTTTGTATTTTCGAATGCACCCATGAGATCTGTGTACATGTGCAGGTGTAATCAGTGTACTTATTGCGCAGTGTACCGTGTCGCTCCCGCTGCAGCGGCTCTATTCACGCACCCACAACGCCACACTCAGCAACATGTTACTGCGCGGTCCGCGACCTCTCCACCCAGCGTCGCGCCACGTCACGCCACAAGATCCGTCCATCAGATGTTATGTATACCTTACTGAAACCGTGTCTATTTGTTGGCCAATCCAATGTCGCACGACCATATGTAGCCAATCCCATGCTCCGCTGACAAAAGCGCTGATGACATACTGGCCGACCAGGTCTGGCATCGACATCGCGTCTATAGCTCGCGTCTATAGCATGGAGACCTTTGAAGGCGACGGGACCTCGTACGTCCTGAGCGCGCCGCGCCATGGCAACTGCAACCTCATGTGGACGCCGCCACTAGCGACGACCAACTACGCAGCCCTCAACGCGCCACAGTGGGCCAATCTCGCCCACTGCGGCCGCTGCGCGCGCGTGCGCTGCATCGACAGTCGGTGCAATTCAACGGCGTCCGCGCTTGTCATGCTCGTGGATCAGTGCCCCGAATGCAAGCACGGCGACCTCGACTTGAGCCCAAAGGTGTTTCGAGAGATTACGGGCCAGGACGCGACGCGACTCCAAGTCGCGTGGTCGTTTGAGCGCTGTCCGGTCGAGGACACGCGGGCCCATGTGTGCCTCAAGAACGGGGCGAATCCGTTCTGGATGGCCGTGCAGCCCGTCAATGTCGATACGGGCGTCCAGCGCGTCCGTGTCAACGGCTTTGTCACCGAGATGCTAAGCAGCTGCTACTACTTTCGAGCCATTGCCGGAAGCGCGCAAATCCCGTTGGCGAACATGGACGTCGAGCTCACGTTTCTGAACGGATCAACCATGCACATCCTCATTCCATCCATCACCGCAGCGTCGTGTACGAACGGGTACCACGAAAGTCTCGACAACCCGAATCCGAACGTCCAGATGGCACCAAGTGGCAGTGGTTCGTCGAGCGTTCTGCTGCCGCTTTTGCTTGTCGCCGCCGTGCTCGGTGTTCTGGCCGCGCTCTATGTCGCACACCGCGTGCGCCGGCGACGCCTCGCCCAGCAGCAGCAGGCGTCGTTCCGGCTCGTGCTGCCCATCGAAGAAGCAGAAGAGGCCGTGCTCTAGTAGCACTCTTCTCGTTGTCGTTGCATGTGCTTCATGTAATCCAGTCGATCGTCGTCGAGTCGCTAATGCCGAATTCGATCGCGGCTTCTACTGGGTGCGATGGCGGCAGAGGCGCCGCCGCGTTCGCCATTCTTCCACCTTGCGCTGGATGGGTACGTACGACGACGCGAGCGGGTAGCGCTCTGATGTGAGCTGCGTAATGCTCTGCTCTTGCCAACCGGTATGAGCTTGGTAGCTGTGCGTGGTGTAGAAAAGGCGCGTCCACGTCAGGTTAGAGTAGGTACAGCCACAGGAGAATGGACGACTGGTATGTATGAGATTAGACGAGGTCGAGGTCCTTGGCCGTCAACGACGCGGCGAACGTTGCTTTCGAGGGTGAGAAGCTCCACGAGAAGAGGAGCTCGTCGTCGCCTTCGTTGCGGATCTCGTGCGACTGGCCACGGCCAATGAACACGAGATCGCCGCAGCCTGCGCGCGCCTCTTCGCCGTTGATGTTGATGCTCGCCGTGCCCCGGAGTACGATGATGACCTCGTCCTTGTCGTCGTGAAAATGGAGTGGGACCCGACTGCGGCTTGGGACAGTCTCGAGACCCATGTCAAAGCCGGCTTCGGCCACGAGCGGGTAGACGACGCGCGGGCAGCCGCGCTTGGCGCCGAGCGCCAGCGGCTCGCTGCACGTTGAAGTGTTGCGCAGCATCGAATTCTTTGACGCGCAAAGGCCAGTGGCAGCTGCAAGGCGGAGGACGCGCCACATGGCAGAAGAGGCGCACCTTCAACGTGCTGCCGCGTGGGACGGCAAGACGACAAAGAAATAGGAAGAGTCTCGGCGACCACCCTTCTTCTTCATCTTCTTGGCATCCATCATCATCAGCATGATGGTTGGTCGGCGGCTGGGCGGCCAGAAATTTGGCCGACCGACGACGCCGTGCCACTCCACTTGCCGTCCAACTCTGCCTCGGGCTTCTCGTTCGCTCCCTCCTCCTCCTGCTGCTTGGTCGCCTCCCATGCGTATTCCGAGTAGCTGACCCTTCTGCATGTCATGTCGTCCAGCGTCGCATCGGCACTGGAACGTGGGTGGCAGTGCCATAGAGAAGAGGTGTAGGTATAAATACAACAAAGACTCTAATTACATGCGGTAGAGCTCATGGCGAAGCTCCGCGAGCGCCACGAGCAGCGTGTGCTAAGACAAAGAAGCATCGATGATGGCCTATCGTCGCGCTGGCGTACCTTGAGGCCCGGGCTCACGTCCGGCGGCAGGTCGTCCTCGGTCAGAAACGCAATGCTGCCCAGCGTCCGGAACCCGCGCTGCTCGAGGCTTCGGCCAAACGCCACGAGGTCCGGGCTGCGCACGCTCATCCAGTGGATCACCTCGCCTTGCTCGTACACTAGCGCCAGCTTGAGCTGCATCCGCGCCGCTCACATACCCGAGTTGACGACCTTGGCCTGCTCCTTGGCGGCGTCAATGCGCATGCGGATCTTGTTGGGGCTCATGCTCAGCGGCGCCGGCGTCACGGCGGCCTCGCGGTCCTCATCGAGCTCGAGCGGCGTCGTGAAGCTCGGCATCGTCTCGTCGGCGGAATTCGGAAACGCCATCTCCGACCATCTCCTGGCTGCTATCGGTTGAAACCGACTCGTAACGGTTCCATTTGCTGTGCCACCGAGATAGGGATGGGCACGGAGGTACTTGCAGTAGAGGGCTACTCGCCTCAGGGAAGCGGCCGAGGACCCGAGATGGTCGATCGCGCTCCGAGTAGCTCTGACGATCAGCTCTGCCACCACGTGTGGGAGGATACCGGGCTTGAGGAAGCAACTGCAGCGGCAGAGATCAGACTAAGATGGTCACAAAATGGCCGCCGTCAAGAGGCGCAAAAGACAAAAGCGTACGTGGGCGTGCCACCCCAAGAGGTAAAACTCTATTGTCGTCGGCGCCCCGATAAAATAACGCGTTTAAATGTCGTCAAACTCAAAGCCGCAGTCGTCGTCGTCGCCGCCGCCTTCCATGTCGACGTTGGTCTCGTTGATGCGCGCGTTGTCCGGGAGTTCGCCGTACGCCTTCAAGCTGCGCGCTTCGTCGGCGTTGTACTTGTGGATGACATCGACCTTGCCGTCCTGGTACTCGCGCAGACTCACGAGCACAATGTCGCCGGCGCCGACCCACACCTTCTTGCGCATCTTGCCGCGGATGTGGCCGAGGCGCGTGACGCCGTCGTAGCAGTAGGCTTCCAGGCGGCCGTTGCCGAGCATGCGCAGCACCTGGGCGTATTCTACGAGGTTTTTGGTATCGTTAGCCGTGGCGCGAGGTGGCGAGATGCGTAGGCATGTACGCACCCTGGCCATCTTCCTTGAACTCGAGCTCGCGCTTGTTCTCTTCGCCATCGCCCTTGCCGCGGCGACGGTTCTTGCCGCCCTTGCCCTTGTTCTTGCTTGCCGAGGACATGATCTCCGAGAATGATGGACCACCACCAACTCGCCCCTATTTCCAGCTTCGACGCCGATTGGCCAAAATCACATGCCGCCACTTGATTGGCTATATTCTTGGTCGGCGCCCGGATTGGATAAAATAGAGCATACAAACACCAAGTGATGGTAGACTGGCGCTGCGACGTGGCCATCTTTTTATAGTGATGGCCACGGTCGTTTTAAAATATAGTACGTTCAACCTGATATTTGTAGAGTGAAAAGATTGAACGTTAAATTAATATGCAGAAAAGACCACCCAACCCAACCGACCAATGAATGGTCGCGTGTCAAACCGGCCATGTTGAAGCCAAGAAGATCGCCATTTTCGGATGTAAGGTGGCGTGCAGAGCGCCAATGCACCCTTGTCACGGCTAATTAGACGCTCCTTTGCCGAGCTGCACCTTCTCTTGGGCTTCTTGGGTGTTGTTTCTCGACGAGGAGCAATCACAAAATTGCAGCGACGTTCAAGGTGCGTTGGCAGCCTTGGCGGGGCCTCTCTGAGCAGCCTCTGTGGGGACATTCACGTATGACTGGTCACGCAATGCAGCATCGCGCCGAGCTCGCAGCGACGCTGCAAGCGAAGGCACCATGGACCACGTGTTGGTGCCAACGCGGAAGTATAAGCTCAAACCAGTTCAAACTATAAACATTTACGACACCACTGGCAACTCTTTATCAATAGCACGCCGGCTTGTCGCCGACAATGGCATCCTGCGGGACCAAGTTCTTGGCCTTGAGGATGTCGACGATCTTGTTGATCTTGAGGCCGCCGTTGGGACCGTCGGGGCAACCGCCGCAGTTGTGAAGACCAACAACGACGTTCTCCTTGGTCGAGAAGACGGGCGAGCCCGAGTTACCGCCCTGCGTGTCGAGCTCGTAGCCAAACTCATCCGGGACGCACGACTCGATGCTCAAGTCAGTGACGACACCCGGCTTGCCATCGTCGACGACAATCGCAGCGTACTGCGGGTAGCCGCGGGGGTTGCCAATGATGTGGATCTCCTCCTTGAGCTTGGGGCCGTCCGGGCGGACCTGGAGGTAGCCGTACTTCTTGATGTCGACGCCGTCCTTGACGTTGAGCTTGATGAGCGCAAAGTCGTTCTCCGGGTTGGAGATGAGGTGGACAGCGTCGGTCGCGACGATCTCGCCCTTGCAGCCGAGCTGCTTGGTGTTGTTCGGGTCGTCGCACGTCGCGCAGACAGCGCCAAACTCGACCTGGACGTTCTTGGCATCGTCCGCCGTCTTGATGCAGTGGTTGTTGGTCATCAAGTGACCCTCCGAGCCAATGAGCCAGCCCGTGCAAAGCGACTTGCCGCCAATGAGGAGACGCGCCACCGAGAGCGCCGACTTTTGCTTGGCAGCATCCGCCGTGTAGCACTTGGTCGGCTTCGAGTCGTCCTTGCCGCAGATCGCCTCGAGCGGCGACGGCGGCTTGCCGAACGTCACCTTGTCGATCGCGAAGACCGGCGTCGCCTGCTTGGTGTACGCAGCCGCTTCGTAGCTCAAGACGGCCTCCGAGCCCGAGATCCACTCGGCGAAAACGTTGGTACGCGACTCGCCGCCGACGTACTTGACCGACTCCTTGCCGTCGAGGCTCGAGATCGTGAGCGTCGCGCCGGCCGGGATGTTGAGCGCGTCGAAATGCACGGCCGTGTACGTAGCACCGACCTGCTTGATCGTGTGGCTGAACGGGGCGTCGCCGTTGAAGGTCAAGCTGAGCGGCGTCTCCTTACCAATCTCGATGGACGCCTGCTGGACGCACTGCTGCGCGGCGGCGGCGGCCGCAAAGAACGTGATCAACTTGGTGAAGCCAAACATGCTTGTTGGTATCTGGAGAAGATTGCAAAATGTAAAGTGACGTCCGAGCGTTTCGGTTTCATCGGCCAACACCCTAGAGCACTGATATTGGAGCAACTGGAGTGCGTTTGGTGGGCTCAAGCTTTTCACGTTCTTCGAGGTCAGCTTCGGAGGCGATCGAAGGGCATTCATCGCACGGGGCAGTCGTCGGCACGTGTTGCATGTGACTTTGTATAGCATGCAATGGCCTTATCGTAACGTGATCGCGCCGTAATTGCCAAGGGGCCCTGGTTTACGACTCATTATTCACACAAGGTTGGCTCTCGAATACAAGGACACTAGAGAATGCAGAGGAAAGGACGCAGCGAGAACGCTGGAAACGCCGGGCACCACTCTGCGTCCTGTTCCTCTTGGTGGGGGTCGTGTCGCGCAGCCAGACAGCGGCTCGTCCAGTGCACGTCGTTTTGGCCGCGTTTGTGGTCACTCGAGTCTCGGTTGCAGTATCTCGATAGCGAATTGTACTAACGTTATGAGCAGTCGCATCGAGACGCTGCGCACGTTCTTCCGACGCAGTGTCACCTTGACTCCTCTTCGACTTCCTCGACCACGATACCCGCCACTGCTTTGTGATGCAGGAGTGCGACACGAGCAACCATCTTTCACCAAGATCCTTCACGTTCAAGTGCTCTACTAGTGTGCGCCACATGCGCTTGCATATGCAGCCCCAGCTTCCTCGTGCTCTTACACTACTACTCGGATCGCAAGCTGTTCCTGGCGACCTTCGAGCCGATCTTAGAGCGCAACCACCGCATTGAGCAAACTCCCAGCTGTACCAAGGTACGTTTACGGGTGCGACTACACTGCGGATTGCTTCGTACCATCCTTATGCTCACGATTGCATAGTGCACGGCGGGGTGATGGAGCAACACAGTCTGGGTGTGAACCACGAGTACAAAAGGCTAGCAAAACCAAGGTTTTGGGACTACAGTGTAGCGATAGTCGATGGTAGGACGTCTCAAGGAAGATTTGTGTGAGGAATGGACCCAAGATGGAAACAAGAGTTTACATTACCCATCGCTGTATATGCTCATTCTTGACTAGAAGAACGATCGAGGCAGCGTGATCCTTTTCCGGACTACGGACTACAGTGAACCAGAATAGTACAACGCTTCGTATGGATGATCAGGCGCTTCGACGACTACCCTAACCCGTCCTCGAGACACGAGTACCGGTATGCAACGAGGGCCAGCGTACAGGACCGGAATCGACACCAAACTAGACGCACCTTCATTGTGAGCACAGTGAGCTTCGAGGTAAACTTGTGAATGCACCTAATTCTTCAGTTAATCCTCCGTGCTCGAATGGCCGAAGGTGGGCTCTATCAGGACTGCACCGGCACGGGCAGGACCCTTTCTATGCTCAGGTTATCAGACGATCTTCCACGTGGTGGGTGGTGGGTGCTCCTCATCAGGTTTGACCCTGCGTTTAAGATCTGATCGGTTGCGTTTTACCATTTCATTCGAGTGGCGCCGCGTTGACGTTAAAGATTAAACGTATTTGCCCCAAATCACACCAGGTTGTCGATCATCACCAACTCAGATTCCATCCCAATGTCTATCACACTTGATGACCAGACTTAGGAACCCAGAGGCACCTATGCATTGCAAAGACTCCACAAGAAACCAACACTCGAGGATGGTAGCATCATCCCGACTGCCATCGCGCAATGCCATTCGTAGTAGGGTTCGCTCCTCGCACTCATGGTGATGATAATGGATACACTGCGTCGTCGGCTCCTATTCTCGGGTGCAAAGTGACACCATCTGTCTTTGGCTAGCCAATGACATGTGGCCATGCAGCGGTCAACTCAGATCCACAAACTCAGATTTCGCAAGTCGCACGCGCTTGGGGTTCGTCTTACGAGCTCACTTTCCATTTTGCCTTCCTTTGCAAATACACCAACTAGCATGTTTGGCTTGACCAAGTTGATCACGTTCTTCGCGGCCGCCGCCGCCGCGCAGCAGTGCGTCCAGCAGGCGTCCATCGAGATTGGTAAGGAGACGCCGCTCAGCTTGACCTTCAACGGCGACGCCCCGTTCAGCCACACGATCAAGCAGGTCGGTGCTACGTACACGGCCGTGCATTTCGACGCGCTCAACATCCCGGCCGGCGCGACGCTCACGATCTCGAGCCTCGACGGCAAGGAGTCGGTCAAGTACGTCGGCGGCGAGTCGCGTACCAACGTTTTCGCCGAGTGGATCTCGGGCTCGGAGGCCGTCTTGAGCTACGAAGCGGCTGCGTACACCAAGCAGGCGACGCCGGTCTTCGCGATCGACAAGGTGACGTTCGGCAAGCCGCCGTCGCCGCTCGAGGCGATCTGCGGCAAGGACGAC